GGAGCTGCTTGGGGCAGGCTGCGCCCTGTGGGAGCCTGGGCGCTTTTCAAGCAAAGTACGTTTGCGTAGAGCAACGGCAGAGTTTCACCTTCAGCCTCAAGGACTGCTGCTAGTGCCTGAATATAGGATTGAGCCCATATAGGATCTATGGCTTGTAATCGGAGAAGAAAGGGACGGTCCAAGGAGCAGCAGCAGTTCTCTGAGGGAAGGGAGTGATAAGGACAACAAGGAGGAAAGGGGCAGGTTCAGCACCCGGGAAGTCTGTACCCCATTGTAGTTTCTGTTTTTCAAAACCAGAGAAAGCTCAAAAACAGGCACAGAAGGGAACTGAGGCAGAATGTCCTGAAGGTCTCTATCTGTTCAGTTTATCCAAAGTAAGAGTACAGCAGGACTAGGGATGCTGCACAAAGCACAGGCACTTCTCTCTGTATCTCTACATGTATGAAGTGTGGGCATGTGTATATGCCTGTATGTGTGCGCGGACACGCATGTGTGCATGCACACACAGGTGAGTTTGCATGTGCACGTATGGGAGGTGCATTCTACATGGCATGCAGCACTGGGGTATGCTGTGAGCATGCATGTGGGCAGATGGGTGGGTGCACACTGTGTGCAGGGGTGGGTGCATTCTGCATGTATGCATACTGTAGGGTGTGCATGCACTGCATGTGTATGTGTTCTGTGTGTGTGTGTGTCAGTCAGTTTTGAACACATGGCACTCTGTGTGTATGTGAACATTCTGCATTGCCCTCGTGTTCAAGAAGGGTGTTTTAGAGTCTGGGTGTGCACACTCTGCTTGTGCACTGCACCTTCTCTTTGTACCCCATGTGTGTCTCCGTGCACCCTGTGCGCGAGCACTCTGTGTGCACAGAGTATTTTTGTGCATGTACTATGTGCATTCTGTGTGTGTGCTCCCAGGGAATTCCTCTTTGCAGAAGAGCTGGAGCTGAATTAGGAGCACTCTCATTCTCAGGAGGTTTCTCCTGTCTCAACCCAATGGATGTGACTGCTTTTCCCATGGACAAGCACAAGAATTGCTTAGTTGGTCTTCTAAAGAGCCAAATCACATTCAAGAACATGCACACATATTTCAGAGGCATGAATGGCAAACCACATTGGCATAGAGCAGGACCTTTCCCAGCACCCACTTAACACTGTCCTGGGTTCAGCTACAGCAGTCATTTTTTCTCCTTCTTAGTAGCTGGTGCAGAGCTGTGGTTTTGACTTTCAGCCTGGGAACAACGCTGATAACACCGATGGTTTTAGTTGTTGCTAAGTAATGTTTACTCTTACCCAAGGACTTTTCTCAGTCTCATGCTCTGCCAGGGAGGAGGGGAAGCCGGGAGGAAGCAGAGACAGGACACCTGACCCAAACTGGCCAAAGGGCTATTCCATACCACAGCACGTCATGCTCAGTATAGAAACTGGGGGGCGTTGCCTGGAAGGCCCAGATCACTGCTAAGGTCAGGCTGGGAATCAGTCACAAGGTGGGGAGCAATTGTATCCTCTCCCCTTGTTATTTCCCTTATCATTATTATTATTATTGGTAGCAGTAGTGGTTTGTATTACACCTTACTTACTGGAGTGCTGTTCTCTCAACCCATGGGAGTTACATTCCTCCGATTCTCCTCCCCATCCCTCCGGAAGCAGGAGGAAGAAGAAGGGGGGAAGTGAGTGAGCGGCTGCGTGGTTCTGAGTTACCGGCTGGGCTTAAACCACGACAAACACAACAAGCAGGACCCAGTCTTCATCTTCCTCTCCAGCTGATCAGGACTGGAACATACACACACATCACTCCCTAGATTCCCAAGCACAACATATTCATGGGTCCCTTAAATATGAGCATGGGAATTAAGTTCAGTCAGTATCTGTGGCTGATGTCAAGCTACTTACCCAGCAGCTGGTACAGACCTTAGGTCTTTCCAGATCTATGTCTCCTCTTGCTCGTGAGCTAGTCCAGCTTCAAGTTCACTAGTGAACTGCACACACCCCCAGAGCACACCCACCAGGACTTGGCTGGTGTTTCCAGCTGCTGGGTCCCTATGGCCCATGTTCCTTCTGCCGTTGCTGCAGCCAGGTACAGAGTGGAACCACACAGAACAGCATTTGGAGTCACTCTCAAAAAGGTTGGACAGACTGTGGTGACTAGATGCAAGGCTCAGTCAAACAAGCAAAACAAGCAGCAGTTGCTTATCTGTGACTGGCTCCTTTATCCCTGTTTCTGTCCATTTTCCATGCTTGTACATCCCCCCCATCCTATTTGACTCCTCTCTTTCTCTGCCCTTTTCTTGTCTCGAACAAGTGATCTATCCCTGGTTATTTTCCCCACCTTGCTCCCATGTTTGCTACATCTGTGAGCAGATGCGGTGTTTGAGGTGCTGATAGCAAGGTCACCTTGGACTTCCATTACACTACTTGGGTGCTGCTGTCCCTACCAGGTGCCTCTCCTCAAAATGCCCCCAACTCTCCCTTCAGTTATCTGTGAATTGTCACTCAAAGGGGCTTGCTCACAGGAGGCTGAGGGTACAGTGGAAGAAGGGCACAGAGGTTATGGGGACAGCAGTTGGAAACACAACGTGTCTTAGGCCAGCTGCTGGTGGGATCCCAGTAGGTCCATACAATGCACTGGTGAACTTGAAACTAGACTTACGCAGCACAAGTCTCCTTAACACACACAGCAGCCACATCCATCAGGCTGGGATAGGACAAGCCTCCTGGGTATAAGCCCACCTGGTTCAGCTCTAGCAGATGTGAAAGGAGAAGATCTGCTGGAAGTCTACTGGATCTGGCTGCTCCATAACAGAATGGGGAAGCAAACCCAAAGAAACTGCACCAGAGCTCACAGGCATGGACAGAAGCAGAGCTGGTTGGGCTGCAAAGCAATGGGGAGGGCTGGCAGTTGGACTTAATACTGTATAGTAACTGGACTACTGCTTTAGAACAGAAGTGCAGGAAGGATGTAGGCTCAAAGCTTTATATATATATATAAAAATACAAATAGTTTCTAGTGTTTGTATTCTCCAATCGGTACCATTAAAGCTTCCAGGCAGGACCCTTCCCTGTAGGTCCCAGAGTGGCTGAACTCTCCAGGCAAGCTTTGCCTTGAAGAAGCAAGCAGTAAGCAGCAATCTTGTGGATACTCTCACCTTCTCATTGACCGTGATATGCAGCAGCTCAGGCCACATCAAGGAAGGTCATGGCCAGAGAATCTCCCGCAAGAGTGGGAGAGGCCCAGTTGAGCTCTCAGGACAAGAGAAAAAACACTTTCCTCTGTGAAGGCCCCAGAAATCTAGAGCAAAGGAAAACTCAGAGTCCAGGGCTTAGGCAGATGGGGGATTATCTTCAGGGCAGCTCTCCTCTTGATCCAACAAATTCTCACTTTTTTGCAGGTCAAAGCTCTGGAAAGGAGCAGGACAAGGAACTGCTGAGAAGCATGAGAGCAACAGCTATATTGTGCTGTGATTCTTTCAAATTAGGGGTAGGGCAGTGTGGGCTCTTCAGAGGATCACCACCTCACCCCTTCCAACCTAGACACGAGCAGCACACAAACCCCATAGTGTCACTAGTATAAGGCAAATCTTCCCAAGCCTACAAAGTTTCGGCCTTTGCCACAGGCTCTGCTTTCTCTGAGGGAAGACAGAACAGAGTTGCTTTTAGGAGGAGGGCAGTAAGTGGAGCCTTTCTTACCTCCAGTTCTCGCATGACCTCATCCATGAAATCTCCTGAATTCTGTTTGTAAGCAACTGCCAGTTTGATGGCATCATTGAAGAGCTGATAAGAAGGAGAATACTCATCACTCAGAGTAAAGGGGCACCGGGCTTCTGTAATATACAGAAACTGTTCCCACACCTCAACTGAAAAAAACCGACTCCGCAAGTACCTATAGCTACCAGGACCTCACAAGTAGGCAAACATGAACCAGCCCATTTTCTGCTCTCTGTGCCTACAGCAGTCTCCATGTCCTTGGACTGTATAGAGGTCTCATGTATGCTGAGTCAAATATCTGTGTCTTACCTTCACTACATTGGTGCCATCTGCAGCAGACACAAAGTAAAAGGGCAAACTGAACTTTCGGGCAAAGTTGAAGCTTTTCTGGGTCACCTTCATATCCGCTGGGAGCAAGAAAAGGAGAAGTGGTTGGTCAGTAACACATCACTGCAGGCAGAATGCCAACATGTACAGGAGTGGTGGAACAGATGAGAGCAGAGCCCAACTTAGCGATTGTACTACCCCTCACTGTAGTACAAGGCTAGGAGAGTCCTCCTCAACAGCTGTAGGGCTTTAAAAGCAACACCATCAGCAAACCATTGACAAGAAACACAAAAAGAAAGAGTTGTTGGTTTATCCATGGTCCTTGACTGAATTATAGATGGATTCTGATGTGCTATAAATGAATAACAGCTTAGAAAATACCCATTCACTTGCCCGGCAGCAACTATTGAATGTTTCCCAGGCACATCCCTGTGATTTTGGCTGTGTCCACATGACCTGGACACCATCACCAGTACAAGTCATGCCTCTCCCCCCAGTTTGGCCTATTAGCCAGAACTCCCCACTGCCTTTATGGCATGTACCTATGTTCGTCGGTATATAGGTATATAGGTATATAGGTATAGAGTCCAGGGCATGCTCACAGTATATAAATGACCCAACTTTTCGATATTTTTACTTAACAGGCAGTTAGGTCCAGCTGTCCCAACCTCAGTAGGCCAGAGGCTTTATTTCAGTTTTGGAACAACTCCACTGCATATTTAGAGGCCATGCTGGCAGGGCAGCTCAGTTTTGATCAATATGCAGCCTGTATGCAGCACAGTGGGATGGTCCCAGATGATCTACCTTTTTTCACACAGCAGCTGAAGTACTTCAGACTTCAGGTGCTGCCCGTGAGCACTGCCCTGGCAGCTGCTCCTTGCCTGTCTGCAGGAAGCTGGATCAACTGTTTCCACACTGGGCCTGTGGTAAGAGTTGTGGGCTGATCATTTCCTAGTCCAGGTGGAATACAGCAAAGAAAGGCAAGGCAGAGGACCATCCTGGAGTAGTGTGCACTCACACATAGAACATCAAGATCAGGATTCATCTACACAGAGGTTCTGCCTAAAATATGCCTGTCAACACCAAGTCCATTTGCCTTGGACCTCCTCTGCAGTCCATGCAACTGGTGGATTCAAGGCTGGCTTGACACATCCTATAGGAAAGGCTTTCATTAGGTAAGATCAATCACGCCCTAAGCCACACCACTGAACCAAATGAACTGCTGTAGACTGCAGTGGAAGCCCAGACACTTTATTCAGGTGGACACAACTATTGATAGCTGTGATGATTTCTGCCATGAATGTCAGCAAGGAAGCCCATGTCTGACACTGTACTTGGCAGAGAACAGCAGGAGACTATGGTCCTAAGGGTATATGTTCTCTTGTTGATGCTGAGAAGAAAGCTGATGGTATTATGCACTCTTGCAGGATGGAGGAGACAGATCACAACCCAAATGACAGCACTAATGTGTGGAATGCCTAGCTGGCACTCCTAAGAAGAGGGAGGCATCAGTCATCAGCAGAGGAAGGTGAACAGTTTTGCTAGCAGGTGTATTTTAGACACTTCAGCACAGAGGAGTTCCACAGAAACCTGCAGCCTGAACTAGCAATACAAGGGCAGTTACTGACTGTGCCACATAATAGGTTATGCTCCTTTTCCAGCAAGACGTCCTTCAATTTTTGACTAGGTACTGCTCCAATCAGCTTTTGGGTTCTTGCTGGATGCAACAGGCAGCATGGTAAGGACAGAACTGGAAGGACATCACTTGAATAAACTTTAAATGGATCAAATCGTATTTTTAAGTGCTAGTAAAACAAGGACAAGAGCCTGTAAAACAGCATCAAGGTCAGTAGAGGACCCAGCTATTCAGTGGTAAAATACAGCCTTGAAGGACTAATACTCAAGAACTCATCTGGACCTAACAGATGAATGACATTCTCAGCCAGGTCAAAAGAGAATCACATCACAATTCTGAGAGGCTGAAAGAAGAAGATCTACTCACCATCAATTTTATTGGCCACCACAATGCACGGAATCTCTGGGCGGAATTCCCTCAGCTCCTTGTACCAGCTGTTCAAGTTCTTGTAGGTGACCTTCCGCTGCACATCAAACACCTTCCAAGAAAGAACCAGCTATGATGAGCCACAGCAGGAGAGCTCCCGATTGACCACTAAATACAGAATCCAGAATTCTCCCAGGAGGACATCAATAAAGGAAACTGGTGTTTGTTAGAAGGGGTGAAAGACAAGGGAGAATACCCAGCAAGCCTTGAAACATGCAGCCAGGCCCACTTCTTTGCATGAGGCAGGGAACAGTCCCTCATTTTCCTTTGCATTCTTATTTTGTACTATGACAAGCACTGCATTACCCATGACAAGTGAACAACCATAGGAAAGATCTGCTCTGCTAAGAAGGGTCACATGTAAGACTTCTCTATTTTAACAATCAAAATACCAATGAAGTTGACTGATGCTCACAAGTGATAAGAAATAATGGAAAGGTTGCGCAACAGTACAAAGCAAGAGTCCTCGGAGGGGCAGGAGTCAGGAAAAAAGACTTATTTGAGCTAATAAATGGGAAGAGCAAAGTATAGGAAAATAGAAAGGGCAGAAGACCAAAGAATGTCTTATGCAGTACCCCTGCAGAACATGTCAGAACAGTTTTGTACTACATAATCCAATAGTCAAATAACAGAATAAGAAAGGAATGCTTACAAAAGTAAGGAAATTTAGAAGACAGCAAAGCCAGGGATATAGTAACAGTGCTATAAGGAAAGATAGAATGGAGCTGAACATACCCAACTACACTGCTTTTATTTAGTGAGAGAAGAAAGAACAATATAGGAATGTTTTTTAAACCACTGGAAGACACAAATCTACGGCAGCGTTATCACAACAAGTAACACATAGGCCATGTGTCAGCTGGGACTGGATTAGTCAAAATTCCATCAAATCACAGCTGAGACACTGCCCTTACCATGATACAAGCATGAGCCTTATGGTAGTAGGATGCATGCATGCTCTGGAACCTCTCCTGTCCAGCTGTGTCCCAGAAGTCTGTAATACACAAAAACCAAACTTAGAATGACACATCTTTTCAAGTTCTGTTTTCTTAAACCCAGGAGACAAAACCCAGTCAACCTACTCAGGGTCAGAGATTAGGTTTCACCTCAGTAATCTAAAAAATTCCAGGGCTAAGAGATTATGCAAAACTAGGACCTTTGCTTAGCTATGCTTAACTATGAGTTGTGCTGACACTGAACATGGCTATAAACATATCAGCAAAAGAGAAGTAATCAGTAGATATGACTTGTAAAGGACAGAAAGACAAAGCTAGTCAAAAGTGCAATGAGTGGTAACAATGCATGGTGCTTTGTCACTCGAGATGACAACAGGAAACAAAACCTAAACCTCTTGCAATGGTTTGATTTCTGACACTGTGGTACACAGCCAGGTGCCTGCCCTAGGCAATGTTCTCTCTGCTTTCACGGACAGTGCAACTCTGCTCTTTCCAGGGGCATGACTCATTCTAGAATTACAAAGGGCCCAGGGCCCAGTTCAGGGTCCCAAGGAAAAACACAGGCAGGTCTCAATTCATTAAGTTCCTCACAGACTGGGTATCATGGAGCTACCTGAAGCGTCAGCATCATTTTAACACCCTTTTCTGTCTGTGTGCCTCAGGTATGGCTCCTCCCCACCTCAATCCTTTCAATATGCCATTTCAGAATCCTTACTTAGAAGGACAAAAGAGGTGCCAGTGATCACAACCTACCGAATGTCCCTAAATTAACTTCCCAAGCAATGCAGCAGCTGTCCTGAGAGAACTTGCCGTGGCTTACTGAAAAACACTGCTGCTTTTATTACCAAATCCTTCATACCTTGTCTGTCATACCCCATGTCACTCCAGAACACAGGGGTTTATCAACCTTAAAATCCTTGGGAAAAGTAAGATTCATAAATAAATACAGCACATTTCAATGCAGTCCTAACTCTACCACACGGAATTTGGCAATGGCCACTAAGAACAGCTCAGCAGAGTTAAAATTAAACTAGCAAGGGAAGTGGTAACTCTGCACAGTTTGAGTCTTCAGATCAAACTACCTGCCCTTACAAATCACACTTCATGACAGGTCTTCTCTGCAAGGTAGCCTGGACAATCAGCCTTATGTTCATAGAATCACAGAATCATAGAATAG